AGGACAGTGTGCCATAAATAGGGGGAGCACAGTGGGGGGTCATGTGCGGGCATGCCGCACCCATAATGCAATGTGCGACACCCCCCCAGTGCGCATGCACGCACTACAGGCACAACCCCCCATTTTTGCATGCTTTTTTCGCCCTCCCCAGGCTTTATAGGAGCCTGGTGAGGGCGAAAACAACCTCCCCTGCTCCCCTGGAAGCCCTCCACAGGCTTCAAGGACCTTCATGAGGCTTCCCTGAAGTCTTCGGAGCAGTTAAAACGACCCCCCGAGCAAACCAGAAGTCCATTCCCAAACTTCCGGTTTGCCCATAGGGCCGGTTTTTTGCGCTCCGGAGGCTTCAGGGAAGCTCATGAAGCCTCCGGAGGGCCTCCAGGGGGGGGGGAGGAGGCTCTTTTCGCCCTCCCCAGGCTCCTATAAAGCCTCTGGAGCCTAGAGCCCAACAAATGGCTCCGCGTGCCACCTGTGGCATGCGTGCCATAGGTCCGCCATCACTGGACTAGATCAATGATGGTGATCCTTTTTGGCACTGTGTTAAAAAGGGTAGGCGCACCCTTGTCGGGGAAGCGACCCGGAAGAGGAGCTGCCCAGTGCGCATGTGCTTGCCAGAAACTGGAACTTCCTGTTTCCAGCACGCGCATGCGCACCGAGCAGCTCTTCGTATTTCTGGCATGCATGCATGCGTGACAATCAGGTAGTCGGCGTGCATGCGTGCATGCGTACATAGTAACCAGAAGACCAGTTCTTCCTGTTTACGGTACTGGCACGCACGTGAAGACTGGCTGATCATCGTTTGCGCATGTATGCCAGAAACGCAGAAGAGTAATGGGCAAGGCCATGTGTGCCGGGCGACATGGCTCTGCCTCCCATTTCAGGCACACGTGCTATAGGTTCGCCATCATGGGACTAGGTATAGGGCATAACTTTAAAAAATCTGCTGTACTTAAATTGAAGGAAATTTAATTTCCTTTTTCTTGGTCTTCCAATAATGTTTGCTTATTTATTAAGGAACTGAGGAACTCTCAAAGGTTATTTTGAAAGAAAATATTTGTTTCTAGCTCACTCATAAAATTATTATATCATTATGTAATGCAAATATAGTGGGGTTCCCAATCTGAAATATTATTTTAAAGGATTTTAGCTGAGACAATATTTGCAAATCAACACATTTTCACAGTGGGAACTCACATAATTCCCATATAGTAAACAGAGCTCGTTAAAAATTTATTCGCTTTTTAATAGCAGTTCTATGTAATGTAAATAGAGTCGGTTAATCCCTTTTGGAAGACAAACTTCATGAACATGTTAGTTATTCCTATATCTTATTCATTTACTACATTCTTAAAACATTTTAGTCAAGGCACATTTTGTATATCTTTGTATTCTTTGGTTCCACCCCGAAAGACACTAACATAAATTTACAATCCAAATTTACCAAATTGAACTGCTGCTGTAATTTTTCATTGGCGTAATTGATGCAGAATTGTTCAAAGCTATTATATTCAAAGGTCTCAAACCTGCAAAAGAAAAGAATATTCTTAGAAAAAGGATTCAAAGAATAGTTTCTGGAGAGAAAAAAAATCATTCATATTTACGGATTAATTATTGTACTATTTTTATACACCACCTTGGGAATCTGATTTGAGAGAGTTATTAAAATGAGGTCGATAAATCAAAATTACTTCCAGTTTAGAAATATCAACGAGAGCTTAGCTTAAATTTTCCCAATCCAGAATCCTACAGATGCATGAATAGCTATCACAGGATGCAATTTTGGAGCTGTAATTCCAATATATTTGGGGAGCATTATATTGGGGAAGAAACGTTTAGGCTAACAGCCCCATCAATTCTATCACTCACTGTCTCCTAGCGCAGGGGTCCCCCCCCCCAATGGGCCACCGTCCAGTACCGGGCTGTGGCCCATTCAGAACTGGGCCGGGCAAGCAGTGGACGAGTGTGTGCATGCATGCAACTCTATTTGTTCAAGCAGCGTGTGTGCCTGCCACTTGTGCAAATGAAACTGCACCAGGGATGGGTTTCAGGCGGTTCGCGGCGGTCCCCGCGAACTGGTTGGTCGGCGAACCCGGAAATAAGTAACTTCCGGGAACGCCGAAGGATCCACCTGCCCGCCCGCGTTTCTTACCCGGTTTT